AAGAAGAAGAAGAAGAAGAAGAAGAAGAAGAAGAAGAAGAAGAAGAAGAAGAAGAAGAAGAAGAAGAGCAGTAGCAATAGCAGTTAGACTTATATACCGCTTCATAGGGCTTTCAGCCCTCTCTAAGCGGTTTACAGAGTCAGCATATCGCCCCCAACAACAATCCGGGTCCTCATTTTACCCACCTCGGAAGGATGGAAGGCTGAGTCAACCCTGAGCCGGTGAGATTTGAACCTCCGAACTGCCGAACTAGCAGTCAGCTAAAGTAGCCTGCAGTACTGCACTCTAACCACTGCGCCACCTCGGTTTCCCACATTATCTAAGCCAGCGGTTACCAAACTGGTGGTCCACGAGAAAATTTTGGTGGCCTGCAGAAAAATGATTTTTCATTTTTTATATTGCACTAAATACTATTTATTTATTAAAATGATGAATTTAGTGGTCCCTGAAGTCCGGAAGGTTGGTGACCCTTGATCTAAGCCAGCATTTCTCAACCTCGGTTGCTTTTAAGATGCGTGGACTTCAACTCCCAGAATCCCCCAGTCAGCCTCATGAGTGTCTCGTCCTTATTCTCCCCAGACTGCATCGAATGTATGGCTTGTTCGGACAACACGGTGCGCGCTGGCCTGACGCCCAAATTCATCGACGTTCTGACCCTGTGCGAAATGCTGAACTACACGCCAGCTCCCGCCAGCTCAAAGTTGCTGCTCCCTGCTCAAAGCCGCCTGGATCCTTGCGTCTCCCTCTACGACCCCCCCATTCCAGATTTTGCTGTCATGAGGATAGAGGTAAAGGAGTCCCGCTCTAAGACCGTCCCAAGTTTGCAACTGTAGTGGCCAGGTTCCATTCGGGTCGTAAGAGCGTTTACGCGATTCTCCCTCTCTCCTTGCTGCTAAGACATGCCGAGTTTATTCAGCGTTTGCTTCCTCTGTTGCTATGTTGTACTCCAGGTTTTTGGACATAAGACAATATGAGAACTTGGCCAGTTGTGTTTCATGATTAAGCAAACCTTGGCTTAATGTATGTGATGCCAACCCAGAAATCACTGGCTAAGAGGTAAGCATAATGGGCAGACCAGGTTTTCTGAGCAGAAAAGGATTATCCTGGTAGCATTCTTTGGGGAGAATTTTCTAAAAAAAACAAAAGGAATGGACAGAAAGTTGTGATTTCATATTTTTTTTGGAGGGTAGTGGTGGTTATAAATTTGTGCCTTCAGTCCATTTTCTTCTGGAACTCAGCTCCTTTGTCCTATTTGGGATGCTTGCAAGTGTAGAACGAATTGTGATTTTGGTCTGTTCTGGTTTCATTTGCTTCCTGTTCCAGCTTCAGCTACTTCCTGTTTGTTTCCCTTGCTTTGGTTATGTTTCAGTTGCTTCCTGTTCCTGCTTCAATTGTTTCATTTCAGTTTCACTTGCTTCCTGTTCCAGCCTCAGCTGCTTCCTGTTTCGGTTTCACTTGCGTCCCGTTTCATTTTGTTTCTTCCTGTTCCAGCTTCAGTTGCTTCCTGTTTCAGTTATTTCCTATCCCAGCTTCAGCTACTTCCTGTTTCAGTTTCATTTGCTTCCTGTTTCAGTTTGTTGCTTCCTGTTTCAGTTTCACTTGCTTCCTGTTTGTTTGTTTTTTCCTGTTTCGGCTTCAGTTGCTTCCTGTTTCAGTTATTTCCTATCCCAGCTTCAGCTACTTCCTGTTTTAGTTTTACTTGCTTCCTGTTTCAGTTTGTTTTTTCCTGTTTCAGTTTCACTTGCTTCCTGTTTCCGTTTGCTTTTTCCTGTTTTGGCTTCAGTTGCTTCCTGTTTCAGTTATTTCCTATCCCAGCTTCAGCTGCTTCCTGTTTGTTTCACTTGCTTCCTGCTTCAGTTTGCTTCTTCCTGTTCCAGCTTCAGTTGCTTCCTGTTTCAGTTGTTTCCTATCCCAGTTTCACTTGCTTCCTGTTTGTTTGCTTTTCCTGTTTCAGCTTCAGTTGCTTCCTGCTTCAGTTATTTCCTATCCCAGCTTCAGCTGCTTCCTGTTTGTTTCACTTGCTTCCTGTTTCACTTTGTTCCGTCCTGTTCCAGCTTCAGTTGCTTCCTGTTCCACCAACGCAGGAAGACTTTTCTTTTTTCTTACTTCCCGCTTCGAACAACACCTCTGTTTTTTTTTTTACTTACAGATCCCTTCCCCCATTAAGCTGTACCTCATTTCGGCCATCGACTCGGCAAGCATCTTGCTCACGGTCCAAGGTTCTGCCGTCGGCACTTCCACAGCTGCTACATCTGAAATGATTCTACGTCCCGGCACTGTGTTGTTCATCTCTGCCAACGAGAGTGTCTCCTTGCATTTTAATTCCCCAGAGGGAATGCTCCTCTTCCGGGCTTGCTGCCTCTTGTAATAAGGGACACCGAGCAATTTCCCTCCTTAGAGTAACTCAAGATCAGTAGAAGCTGCCCCTTGGTCTAGAATATCTCCAGTTCGTTGTCATCCTCCCAAGACTGAGGCTCAGGTCACCTAGGAATATCAACCGTCTTCTCTCCTTGGTTGGCTTTCGGCCGACGCTCCATTGCTTCAAAAATGTAGGGTTGGAAATGCTTTGGTGGCCCCCGCTGCACCCCTAAGTTGGGGCAACCCGGAGGCCGTGGTCAATGCTTTTGTTAGTTCTGACTTGCCAAAGAACACGATCTCTCCCAATAGACGCTTCTCCTGTGTCATTCTTCCTTGAGTAGGGTGGTTGTATCTTACGACTATAACGGTGCGCTTCAACTTTGCAACCTTCAAGGCTGGGGACAACTCAACTCCCCAAAACCTCCCAAATTTGCAGATTAATGAGGTGGTCAAAGTAGGGCCATGCAGTAATCGATGGTTATTTAATTTGGATAATGAGAGTGGGCAAAAATGGGCCTTGTGCTGTGACGGCTTGCTTGACGACCGCGCTAATTTGGGCCCCCAATTGTGGTCGTAAGTTGAGGACTACCTGAAATGCCTATGGAGATTCTCAAGTCCTACAGGTCACGGTGCTTTTTTTCAAGAGGCAACTGGACTTCCTGGATTATTATTTTTTTCTTGGTAGACGTTTCGCTTCTCCTCCGAAGAGCTTCTTCAGTTCTGACCGGATGGCGGGGAATGGAAGGGTTTCCTCAGGGGTGCGACACAGATAAATCTCCAAGTGGCCTCAAGGAGTCTCTAAAAGGATGCAAATGACCCGTGGCACGACAAAACTGCGCTCCACTAAAGCGCGCCCGATTAAACCGCGTCGCTGACGTCATCAGCAGGGCGACAACAGCGCCCGCGGGAAAAAAGGGGCTTTTTAAATAGCGTTTTGAAAGAAAGCCGAT